GTGAAATTTCCCGCCAGTACTTATAAACGTAAGAACCACTGACGGGCCGTGAGGAAGGGGTAAACTTTTGAATGGGAAGGATTTGTGCAACGCCACTTGGCAGAAAGGTGGTCCAGAATGTTTGTCGGAGCATGGGCTACTTTAAATTTGGCGGCACAGCCTTTATTGTTATTTTGCAGACGATTTTCGTGTCGACTGTGAGCTGTGCCGCCATTGGGGGCTAAGCAGAAGGACGGGGGCAAAGCAGAATTGCGCCGGGGGCGTAGAGGAACGACGGGGGCGAAGCAGATTTTTTGCGGGGGCGAAGCAGAACGGGGCGGGGGCGAAGCAGAACGGCGGGGGCGAAGAGGAAGGAGTTTCATGGGGGTGCTATAGCTTGTCGTCCAGCAAATCCTTTCGTACTAAGTTCTGCACTACCGGTAGTGACGTACATACTCACAGGAAGTGACGTAGTACGTACTACCCGTAGGGCACAGTTTGAACATCCGGGACCTAACGCTGTGGTACCCTGGGATATCTCTCAGGGGTTAGAGACTCCTGATTTCCCAGGGTGCACCTGGGTAGGCTAGCTCTAGAACTCACTGATCTCGCAGTGGATGCCTTCCCATCCAGGTGCACATTCGCAGGTGTAGTAGTTCACATGGTCGTGGCAGGTGGCGTTGTTGTAACATGGGTCAGAAGCGCACTCGTTCGTGTCTGCAGGAATGATATACATGGACGTAGAATGTACGTTAAAAAGAACGTTAAATCATCTGAAAACATCATGATGATGAATGCCTTATGCTGAGGTCACATTTCCAAACCGGGGCCCGGCCGGGCTGTTTTCGGCTGTTCAAGAAATCAACAATTTATATCAATAATACAATCATGCAAATATTTCACATTATTAATTTTTTCAACTTTTTTTGCATCTTTTTGGTCTTTTAATCATACTTTTCGTTCTACGAGACTGCCCGGCTGGGCCCTGGTTTGGAAATGTGACCTCAGCATAACTCACTATGTCAACATGTATTCTAGCAACTGTACCTACAACTCATCGGCTAACAAGTGTGTGTACTTATGGCACAGATGTTTAGCAACAGATGAGATATACAGGAACTAAGTATACTAGATATGGTTATACTATCATGAAAGTTCATCTGTGTTGGTAGTTGCATGTTTAAAGTTAAAACTTTTGGTCCAACAAAAAAAAGTTCTCTCACCTAGAGCTTTCGACCAGTCACTCTGGTCTTCCTCAGTAGACTGACCCAGTGAAACTTGTCACGTGGCTTCTTTGAAGTGTGACGTCAACACAGGGTCACCTTCATTGAACCGCGACGGGGGCCGACATCGTCTACCAGTGTTGACGTCACACATCAAAGAAGCCACGTGACAAGCTTCACTGAGTCAGTCTACTGAGGAAGACCAGAATGACTGGTCGAAAGCTCTAGGTGAGAGAACTTTTTTTGTGTTGGACCAAAAGTTTTAACTTTAAACAGATATGTTTCATGTTATGCAATAGTCCTACTTTCGACCATTGCATATAGCCCTTTACTCACTGATCTCGCAATGAACGCCGTGCCATCCAGGTCCACACTCGCAGATGTAGTAGTTCACGTAGTCATGACAAGTGGCGTTGTTGTAACATGGGTCCGAGCCACACTCATCTGTATCTGTGTTACAAAAGATAATATTGCAAAAGTAATAAAAGCATTGAGAAAAACATATCGAAGTCTTTATATATGAGGGGCATCCAGCAAATCCTTTTGTTTTTGTTCACTGTTTTTTGTGTGTTCAAGCTGTGTTCGTGTACAGCTTCGATGGTGTGTGTTTGTATTAAGCGACTTACTGATTTCGCAGTGGACACCCTCCCAGCCAGGCCCACACTCACAGGTGTAGTAGTTCACACGGTCATGACAGGTGGCGTTGTTGTAACATGGTTGGGAAAAACACTCGTCGGTATCTGAAATGAGTTAAATGTTCGCATAGTGAACATTTTCGCAAAAAAAAACGTTACACGTACTATTATCGATAATGAAATTTCTTTCAGTTTCCAAAAGGCATGGTTTACCATTTTACGAAACTTGATAACCTATAAGGTTTGTTGTTGGAACATGTAAACAAAAATGCAATGATAACTTCGCCTGCTGTTCCTGTTGTTAGATTACGAAGGCCCACAGATACATTTTCGTCGCCCGCGCCGGCCATTTCGTCACTTGTTGCAGGCGACGAAATGGAACAAGTGGGACGAATTTTGAAAGTTGCCATGGTGACAGACGTCTGGTTCAGGTCATTGACCTTATTGGTTTTGAAGAGGAGGAGGAAACAAAGCAAAAACAATATGTTTTCCTTCGGGAAGCATAATTATACATATATAATAGGAGATTGACTTACTAATTTCGCAGTGAATTCCTTCCCAGCCAGGTCCACATTCACATGTGTACAGGTTGACGTCATCATGACAGGTGGCGTTATTTTGGCACGGGTCCGATTTACACTCATCATTATCTGCAACATAAACAAGTTCACAATGAATAAAACATTATCCTTGTGCATCGGTACCTATTTCATGTTTTTGACAATTCTTTAAATGACAATGACAATGAACTGTCAATGAACATCAAATTCGATGCATGTATTGTTCCCATATTAACTTACGGTTCAGAAGTATTGGGCAAGATTAAGTGACAACTAGCCTCTACAAAGAGGAAAGGGGAAAATGTCTTTACTGTCGTCGCAGTGCGTTCCCTTCCAGCCGCCCACACACTCACAGATGTAGTAGTTGATGTAGTCATGGCAACTGCCGTTGTTTAAACACGGGTTGGAGGCACATTCGTTTGTGTCTAACAAGGGAAAAGAAGCACAGTCACAAAAGAGGCAGTAACAAGAACAGCTTACTGATTCGGCAGTAACAAGAACAGTTTACTGATTTGGCAGTAAGAAGAACAGCTTACTGATTTGGCAGTAACAACTTACTGATTTGGCAGTAACAAGAACAACTTACTGATTTGACAGTAACAAGAACAGCTTACTGATTTGGAAGTAACAAGAACAGCTTACTGATTTGGCAGTAACAATATCAGCTTACTGATTTGGCAGTAACAATATCAGCTTACTGATTTGGCAGTAACAATATCAGCTTACTGATTTGGCAGTAACAAGAACAGCTTACTGATTTGGCAGTAACAAGAACAGCTTACTGATTTGGCAGTGGACGCCCTCCCACCCTGCAGCACACTCGCACGTGTAGCGGTTGACGTGATCATGGCACGTGGCGTTGTTTTGGCACGGGTTCGACCCACACTCGTCTGTATCTGCACAGGGGAGGGAGGAACGTGAAGGAATGCGTGTTGAATGGACAAATGGATAGATAGGCTAATGTATTAAAGAATGCACGAAGGAAGGAAGGAAGGAAGGAGGGAGAGAGGGAAGGAAAGAAGGAGGGAGAGGGAAGGAAGAAAGGAGAGAGGGAAGGAGGATGGAAGAAAAGGAGGAAGATGGAAGAAAAGGAGGGAAGGAAAGAAGGAGGAAAGGAAAGACGGAAGGAGGGAAGAAAGGAGGGAAGGAAGGAAGGCATTAATAATCGTTGGACTTACTGACTTCACAGTGAGTATTTTCCCACCCTGGTCCACACTCGCAGGTGTAATAGTTCACCCAATCATGGCAGGTGGCGTTGTTGTAACACGGCTCTGAAGCACACTCATTTGTATCTAGACAAAGAAACAAGGACAACTCTGGTGAAAGCGAAATGCAAAAAAACTTCATTTTTGTTTACCTGGGTCCAACAAATCCTTCTGTATCTGGTGTGTGTGTGCAAGGGTTCTACCATACGTGTGGTCTACTTGTGTAGACTCACTGATGTCGCAGTGGACACCCTCCCACCCCGAGTCACACTCGCAGGTGTAGTAGTTCACCCAGTCATGGCAGGTGGCGTTGTTGTAACATGGGCCGGAAGCACATTCGTCCGTGTCTGTAAGAAGAGAGACAATGTCAGAAATGCCTCCGCCCCTGATGCGTCGCCAAAAACTGCTGCTTTAATGCTTGTTTGCAGAGCAGTTCTTGGTTTAAAAAATTTTAAACACAAGGTTAAAATTTTTCTGAATGAATACAGAAATCTTGCAGAATGATACATGTACCATTCTGTAATTTCCTACTAAAATGCAGGCGTATGATTTTTTACGGATATTTTAAACTATATTAAACACAACAAAGATTATATCACATTGGGTCTTCGACCTTGGTGGTGAAACTTTCATATCAAGATGTCCGACCTTCTACAAGCAATAAAAAGTAAGGTTCACGGAGTGCAAATAAAAGAACCCGCCCCAGAGGCGCCGTCAAAAATGTACTCACTAATTTCGCAGTGGACGCCCTCCCAGCCAGGTCCACATTCGCAGGTGTAGTAGTTCACAAAGTCATGACAGGTGGCGTTGTTGTAACATGGGTTGGAGGAACACTCATCGGTATCTAATATTAGAAGTAAAGAAAAAGCAACAGATGCCAGCGGCGTTGGGCATATAATTCATATAACACGTTTTGATCAGTAGGGTCCAGCAAAACCTAGCCATTATAAACTTTACTTACCGATTCCTTATTGATTACTTACTGATCTCACAATGAACGCCGTGCCATCCAGGCCAACATTCGCACGTGTAGTAGTTCACGTAGTCATGACAGGTGGCGCTGTTGTAACATGGGTCCGAGCCACACTCATATGTATCTGCAAGACATTTGATTTGTGAAAAATCAAGAACAATTTTTTCAAGGACTTTCGACAGAATTTCATCATGAAAAACACTCATGATCAATTTGAGACATAAATATTTAGGAAATTTCTATGTTGACACTCACTAATTTCGCAGTGGACGCTCTCCCATCCAGGTCCACACTCACACATGTAGTAGTTCACGTAGTCATGACAGGTGGCGTTGTTGTAACATGGGTTAGACGAGCACTCGTCGGTATCTGCGGAAATTGGAGTTAATTTTATCAAATTGGCACCGACAAAACTGTTTTCTTTATGTTTGTGGCTTTCTTCTGATCAGCATCCAAGTAAGAATATGGCAAAACAATAATAAGATAAAAAAAAACACTAATTTCGCAATGAACACCCTGACCCAGATGTCTGACCTCTTACAAGCACTAAGAAGTAAGGTTCACGCAGTGCAAATAAAAGAACCCGCCCCTGAGGCGTCGCCAAAAATTTACTCACTAATTTCGCAGTGGACGCCCTCCCATCCAGGCCCACACTCGCAGGTGTAGTAGTTCACAAAGTCATGACAGGTGGCGTTGTTGTAACATGGACCCGATGTGCACTCATCTGTATCTACAAAAATATATAGAAAAGCATGTAACAATGACAGGAACGGCGAAACTCTTGCTCACACATAGAATAACTTCTCTGTTGGGTCCAGCAAATAGTTCTGTCAGTAACTAGTGCTTTTTTTATGACGATGTCTTAAAACACTTACCTGTATCGCACCTATAGTGCGAAATTTATACTCACAGTACCGTTCCTTTGATTGGTTCCTCCACTCCGATTTGGTTGATGGAGTTCAAGCATACCTCCATGGTTCAAGTAAGAAGATCACAGTACCAAGCGTCATCTTGATTAGATGGTCGCTGATTGGGCACACGGTGACCAATGAAATCGCTGTCTCCATGGAAACCGGCATGACGTAGACGTCCCTTCTTCAGGACCCTGTTGTAACTACCAAAAGTACAACAACAAAAAAACAAGCCCATGCAAAACGACATTATAAATTTACATATTCTATAAACACGTTGTACAGTATGGGTCCAGCATATCTGTTAAAGAGTAGTTTGCGCGAAATTTGTGAAACACTTACCTTTTAACCATTTAGTAAAATAAAGGATACAGCTTTGGTAAAATAATTCAGAAGACGTGCATTGGTACCGTCATTATCCTTGGTCGTGTTAGCTCCAAATGCTGATCTGAAAGCAAGTAAGATTAGTGTCATTTTGTGCATTTTTGCTATGCAAATGTAATGCGAAGCGTTGGTGTAATAGGTGATTTCAGGTATCTGTGTAGCCGGTATAACCGCCCTTCGGCGTAACACACCAGCTTCTGTATCTGTATAGCCGGTATAACCGCCCTTCGGCGTAACACACCAGCTTCTGTATCTGTATAGCCGGTATAACCGCCCTTCGGCGTAACATACCAGCTTCGCAGGCACGCGGCGCGGCGGCAGCTGGCTACATTACACCGAACGACTTGTTACACCTAACCCTTGAACATCTAACTCTAAACATTGTTTTTTAAAAAGCTATCTAATGACAATGCCCCTACTGTACTTGGTGACAGCGAGTTCCACTCTGCGATAGTTCTAGGAAAGAATGAGTTTTTGAAGAGCAAACTGTAAGGTTTGAACCACTCACACCGGGAAGGTCCTCTGCTCTTTTCGATAAGTGCAGTGGGTTCTTTAACGTGCGTGGGGCCCGGTGTGGCTCTCCCCAAACACGGAACCTCAATTTAACGTCCTATCCGAGGGACGTCCCTAACCAAAGCTACATGTAGGTGCTCATTTTCACCTGAGTGAAGTGAGGAAAGCCGTGTAAAGTGCCTTTCCGGAGTTTCCCAATGGCACAAGATCGGTGGCATCGGGCAGGATTCGAACCCGGGACCTCTTGATCCTGAGCCTAACACACTACTAACTCCCAGCTAGGTGCTCATTTACACCTGAGTGAGTTAGGAAAGTCGTGTAAAGTGCCTTTCCCAAGGCACAAGATCGGTGACATCGGGCAGGATTCGAACCCGGGACCTCTTGATCCTGAGCCTAACACACTACTATCTCCCAGCTAGGTACTCATTTACACCTGAGTGAAGTGAGGAAAGTCGTGTAAAGTGCCTTTCCCAAGGACACAAGATCGGTGACACTGGGCAGGATTCGAACCCGCGACCTCTTGATAGACAGGTATTAACAATTATCACGCATAAAATGATTGACAACTCAATCAAACGACTTGCAACCAGGACGTGCGTGTCACAAAACAAAAAAACCGTTTCAATGATTTGATTATCTTCCCTTATCTACATAATCTTTTACTTATCCTTTATGAATGCCACAGCAGATTTTGCTAAGCAAGTATTTGTCGTGTTTTTTGTGTTCTAAATGCCAATACAATTAATCCGAGATAAAACAAACACAATAGATTCGTGAGGAGGCAGAATTTCTGACAAAATAAGTTGATTTATTTTATGATTCTTTTCAATGGCAACCATGGTTATTATATTGATTTTAGCAATGACATAATGTCAAACGTCAAATTAGTTGAGCCTATTGGAGACTATGTCTTTGTCATTAGAACTATTGTCGTTGGTAGTTAGGGCCCTTCAGTTGTAACGCACAACATATTTCGATTCTAAGTCAGAAACCATACCCACATGCCAAACATACGACCGTGATGACTAAGTTAAGAAAAATTATATACACAGTTAAAGGACTGGTGTTTTTGTTATACACTGCATGGTTCCTTTGATATTTCATATTTGTTTGTACCCGTTATGCCACACCGACTTAATTTTATGGATGACATCCGCGCGCGCATTGATTTTCGCCTGTCCTTAAAAAAAAGATCACGTCCTCCGAGGCTCTGGCCTGGCTCTAGGCCTGGGTAGTCCTGGCTCTAGACCTGGGTAGTCGCAGTAAGCGACAATACGGAGCCGGTGGTAACTCTGGAGGATGGCACCCAGGCTATCGAAGCTCCACGACTCAAGAACTCAGTACATACGCACAGTGCAGATTCATAAATTCCGCAAAAATGTACTGACGCAAATTCACAATACCAGCTTTATATTCCTGTGGTTTAGTACCATTTTTTTATTCGCCCGCGCGCACTAGTTTGGGGGTCTTCAGAGGATGTCACCCATAAGATTAAGTCGATGCACCTGTGGCCTTATTCCTTCTTGTTCCCTTCACATATACTGTATGGTTGCTACTTTAATGTTAGAGAAATCATGAATATAATGTCTCAACATTTTGTTCAAGGTTCTAGTCAAGAATTGACGGATGCTGTGGATTTCATACTCTGTTTGTAAGAAGAGTTAGAGTCGTAAAAGTAGACGGATTTGCGAAGTTTCTCGTTTTTACGTTAGGTGGACTACACAATTGTACGCGCCAAAATTCGTCGCTAAATACGGAAACTCTTCTTAAAAAGGCCACACTGGCTTCGCAGACTTCTGAGGGGGCGGCGTTTTTTATTCGGGGAGCGATACGAGTTATGCCGCGAAGGGACGGTTTTGCCGCCGAGGGACTTTGCCGGGGAGAGATGGTTTATGAAATTTCGCCGCCATATACAAACTACATACTAAGTGCCCAGAAAAGAACAAGCAATACCCATGCCTTCACGTACCAGAGCTATCAACCTATGGCCGAGGTGTTCAAAAAGTCGTTTTATTTCTAGAACTATTCTGTTGTAGATTGAAATTCGTTGCCATCAAGTATTATTACAATAGTAGGGTCATTCGTTTTAAACAACGCATGCAGTTAGATGTGTACATGTTATATGCCGGTCGTTCGAATTCAATTTGATAGGCGGAGGGCGGTTATGCCGGCTGTATAGATTTAGATAGAATCATATTAAAGGTGTTAGAAATATTTCTAACTTTAGAACAAAAACAAACTTACCGATAGTTTCTTTTTCGCGTTGTCCTTTGCTCACAACCGCATAGCATTGAAAAAATGCAGCTACGAATGGAACAAAAAGAGTGTAGAGAAAAACGCTGAAAGAACAACTAAACGATAGATTTAAGAAATTAAAAAAAAAGACAAAACAAAAAGTTAGAATATAGAGAGCAACTTTGTAGAAAAGAGGGAAAGATACAGCAAACTAACAACAAGAAAACAGCTCACTAAATTCAGGGGTGCCAGAGTATACTGTGCAATTCTACGGAATACAGTGCAATTTTACTAGTATACAGTGCAATTTTACTAGTACGATTGTACTGTATTCCGTAAAAAATGCAATGTTTTCCGTAAATTTGCACTATACTCTGGCACCTCTGAAATTAAAGTCAAACGAGAAATCTCTGAAAAATTCTCTCTTCCACGTAACCTTGTAAAAACCAGCGCGGTCTGCCAATGCTGGTTTGGCGCACCCAAGTTTTTAAAGCCTGTGTCACGGGCGTGACAAATCGAAAAATAATTTTTGATGGATTGCAGAGGTAATCTCTCCTATTACTCGGAATAATGGTTATTAATATTTAACATTCGCAAGTAACGATATGTCCAAGATTATCATTACATTGCGCTGATGGACAGTTCATTATCAAAGAACTATATGTATACGTTGTTGTTGACTTTTTTTTTCTAAGATGGAATCCCAACTTTTTGCCAGGGCGTGCGAAGGCTAGCTCGTCGGCACCAGGGCCTACATACCCCCGAGGAAATTTTGCCTCGCTCCCCTTCGAAGTACGAGCTAGCCCCGGTGAATCCCGAAATTTGTAAGGGCGTACGCAGGCCAGCTCGTCGGCACCAGGGCCTACATACCCCCGAGGAAATTTTGCCTCGCTCCCCTTCGGAGTACGAGCTAGCCCCGGTGAATCCCGAAATTTCTAAGGGCGTACGCAGGCCAGCTCTTCGGCACCAGGGCCTACATACCCCCGAGGAAATTTTGCCTCGCTCCCCTTCGGAGTACGAGCCCGGTGTAGCGAAGTCGCATTGCACTACAAATACATCCTTGCTCCTTCCCCTGCCATTTCGTTAAATGGATTCAATTTGTTCATTTTTTGGTTAAATGACATGGAATTTGGCATGAACGAAGAGTAGCCAAATACCCCCAGACAGTTTTTTTTTCATTTTTTTGAAAAATTGTTTTCTTTGAGTTTTTTTGAACACTTTCAGGCAAAAAAATATACATTTTGGGATCTGGAGCCCTGGAACTAAAATCAAATGACCTGAAATTTGGTATGAGGCTGCCTTTGACATATGTCTACAAAACCTCATTCAAGCTTTTGACATACACTTGTGAAAAATAGGGCTTCGGGGCTATTTTCGGACAAAAAATGTACATTTTAGCTCCTGTACCCTAATATTAAATCCAAATGACCTGAAATTCGGTATGGGGATAGTTGTACCTTGGACACATGTCCAAAGAATTTCATTCACGTTTTGTCGGCCTTTCTAGTTTCAAAAGATTTTTACATGATTTTAGCGGAATATACGGTACAGTGCTAACGAAAAAAAGACGTTGGTTATTTCACCGGTTCATCAATTGAAAATGACTTTTCAACTGATATTTTACATGAACTCAAGCAGAATACATGGTACAGTATTAATGACCTATGACAAGAAGACGTTGGTTGTTTCACCGCTTCCTGCTGATATTGATGGTAATATCGCGTGGTGGAGGTCTTTATCACGAATTTATCGACCTGCCCTGATGCACCTGCCCCGGTCAATAATGCCGTAATAAAGTTGATAAAGACTGGACATATTATCACTGATGTAGATATTGATTCTCATTATTCTTTCATGTCTTTTTTTATGAAGCGGAAATTTGGATTTTCAAGAACTATGAACTCTCTAAGACCCATATATAATACCCGAAACCTAGAATTACGTTCAATGTTTTTATACATGTGTAT